GGTCAGGCTTATCCCTTTATTGTTGTTTTTATAAAAACAACGTTTGTTTATTAGTGGAGAACGATGGTAATGTTTTTTTTTTTTTTAAATTACTAAATTTGTTCTAAAAGTTGGAGGGTAGTCAATGTTCGGTCATGCTTTTTATCGTAATGCCAATAAAAAGACTTGAATGGTTTTATGTCCTGAAAATTTAACTGTGGGGTGCTGATTTTGTTTGTGAGAGAGTAAAGTAGTTAAGCATAATTTTCATGATACTGATCGTAGAAAGTTAGCCCTTATTATTCTATTTTTTTTGTTTTAGAAACTAAGCATCATGGATGGTCGGGCGATGCGTGTGAGTAAAACCACCAAACTCCCTTGTTAGTGGTGTACTGAGTATTCGAGACCGCCTCGTTGTGTATGTCGACTTAGATATTAATTGTTCGTCCCTTAGGGCTATGTGTGAGGATTTAAAACCAACCTGAAGAATAATACACCCCTGAGCTTGCTGGTACAACACCGTAGCGCCCCTGTAGGTGGCACGTATCAATTGCCATTTATAACATCCCCATATAATTTTCCAAGTTCTGTTCGAACATCATCATTGTTAGGTACAAGTTTTTTTTTTGACATTCCAATTAAAGCAAAGGGTTTTTATATCCTCCAGCATACATAGTATGGAGGGAATATTAAGTTCGTCATTCCGTTTGTGACTCATCGAAATAATAATTTTAGACCCAACAAAGTACATATACTCTTGATCAGCGTAAAATTCTAAGACAATTTCGCCCTATCCGTCCGTCAGTTGTAATCACGCTAGAGTCAAAACGAATAAAAATGGGAAGCTAACATTTTTCACACATATGTCTTTTGTCTGCAGGCAGGTCAAGTTCGATGATGGGCTATATCGGTTCATGATATCGTATATCACCCATATAACGGTACACCCGAATATTCGGTATTTTGATGATTTTTTAGCCACATATTTCAATGGAATTGTCTGAAAATCCACACAAGGAGTTCCTTGTGAGTATTTTTTCCCCTAGAAGAGATTGCCTATATAGGTCCACGATGTCATATATCACCTATAAAACGATTCCTCCCGATATTCGGTATTTTGATGATTTTAGTCACATTTTCCAACGGAATTGTCTGAAAATCCTTATGCTGTTCCTTGCGAGTACTTTATTCCCTCGAAGAGAATTGTACGTATAGGGGTCCACGATTTCGTAAGGCCCCATATATCGTACCCCTCCCCTGATATTCGGTATTTTTAGTTCATTTTGATGATCTGCATAGAATCACTTTCTGAGTTGATTAATGCATGTCATTCCGTCTGTCCATGCATTCTTGCGAACAAAATGCAGGTCACATTTATTATCCGCTTACCATGAAATTTTCCAAACAACATTTGTTTGGCCCAAGGACGAACCCTATTGAAATTGGAGATAATCGGTAAAAATTTAGATATAGCTCCCATATATATCTTCGTCCGATTTACCTTTTATTGTGCACCAAACGTGTAATATCAGGCCGAATGGTATGGAATTTTGCATATACAACCAAATTAGGCCTGAAAATAAGTATGCCAAATTTGATCGAAATCGGTTCAGATATAGCTATGGCTCCCATATATATATATTGTTCATCCGATTTGTTATTTTTGTCCTCCACAACCGTAATATGCACTCTGTAACAGCAATATTTGGGGAAATATATGAAATGCAGCTCAGAAATATCTTTGCTAAATTTTATCGAGATCGGTTCAGATTTGGATATAGCTCCCATATATAACTTTGTCCGATTTACCTTTTATTGAGCACAAAACGTCTAATATTTGCCCAAATGGGATGGAATTCGGCACTTAGGACCGAATTTAGTCTAGAAGCTAGTGTGTCAAATTTGGTGAAGATCGGTTCAGATATAGCTATAGCTCCCATATATATTGTTCATCCGATTTGTTGTATTTGTTACCCACAGCCGTAATATGCACTCCGTAACAACGATATTCAGGGAAATATATGTCAAATACAGCTCAGAAATATCTTTGCCAAATTTTATCGAGATCGGTTCAGATTTGTTTATAGCTCCCATATATATTGAATGGACAATACAAGTCCGAATTTAAAAGATAAAAATTCTTCGGCATATTTAGTCCTTTGAATTTTAAATTATTTATTATTATTTTACGGGTGTCGCTTGAAACTGGAAATTGAATAAAAATCAGCAACAGGATGTTCACAAGACTTGCAGTGGTGTTGGTTTTATTTTTGCTGCAGGACCAAGTCCTTGGCGGAGAAGTTAAGTGTATGTATTGTCAGTTCTCTTTTGCAAAAGATGGAGAAAACAAGTTTGGAGGTTATTCTTATTTTTTTTTTTTTTTTTGTTTCCCAAGTGAGATGCATGTTATGCAATTGGTCCTCCGAGTTGAATAAATCTTCGTCCTCAGAGTTAAGATGGGAATACATAAAGCGCTTATTTGACAGGTTCGATGACATAGACTGGCTTCTTCGTAGAGGATCATAGGAGTTTTAGGTCGACTTTGTTCGATTTCGACCGTATGCTCCTTCGTTCTTTTACGAAGAAGCCAGTCGATGACTAAAGCCAGTCAAAAAAAGCCTTTAATGCACTCTAACCTTTATATTTTTTAAATTAATTAAAAATGTTTAAAACGGGTGAGATAAGAAAAAAACTGCAATAAAGTCAAACGCCATAATTTTTAATTTTTCTTTTTTTTGGAAAATTTATTGAAACAAAGCAAAAAATGTCGGAAATAGCATCAAATTTTAGAATAAGTTTAGATTTGTTAGAATTGGCCACCTTTCGCACGAATTATGGCCTTCAAATGGCCAATGAAACCGTCAAACGCTGCCCGGTATTTTGGACCATTCCCGGTGAATCGCTTGCTTGAGGTGATCGACACTTTGGTATCTTTTAGTGCCAACCTGGCCTTCTAAAATACTCCAGACACAATAGTCCAACGGCTTGAGATCCGCAGCTTTTGGTGGCCATTGTGCGCTGGAAATGAAGCGAGGAACCCCATTTTGTAATCATTCTTAGGTGGCGCGTTCTGCGGCCAAAATGTTTCAGTGCCCAGGGCTTTAATACACCCTCCAGAATATTTTCGCGATAATATTCGGCATTTATTCTAATGCCACGGTCGATTTATACGAGCGGAGAGCGACCATCGGCTGTTATGGCGGGCAACACACCATCACCATTGCCGGCGCTTGAGTTCTGGTGGCCAACCGAATGTGCACATTTTCAGTTGGCCTCTTTGGCAGTTTGTTTGTTTTACAAACTGCTGGACAACGAATGTTTTCTCTCGTCGGAGAAAACCAAATTCGGCAGTTCACCACTTTCAGCCAAGCCAAGCAACTCTTTAGCTCTTTTGAGTCTGTTTTCTTTCTGTTGCGGTGTAAGTTCTTGCACTTTTTGGAATTTCAATGGCTTTACCTCGAGCTCATTATTTCAATATTTTCCGAATATTTATGAATATTTTCGGCCACTACGACGCGGGTTTCGATCAAATCGCTTTTTTACTTTTGGAACCATTTCTGCTGATGTTGCTGTTTTCTTCCGTCCCCTTCCACTTCCTTGACTACGAGTATCACGGTAACGAGCGATGGTACGAAACACAAAAGACTTATTCACATTTAAATCCTGGAGTGCTCTAACGATAGCCACTTGTGGTTTTCCTGGCAAATATAAAGAAATCGTACTATCACGTTTGAATTCCATCGCGAATAACTTTTTTTCTGGAAAATTCTCACCAAAACGCTTTTGTTCGCTTGTGAACAATATAATGAGCTGTCACCGGGAATAATTTTAACAGCTGTCGGACGAGGGGCTTAGAAATCACACAAGTCTAAAGTTGGTTACAGTTTTTTCAACTCACCCTGTTTATGTTTCTTTCAGATTCCCGTAATGAACTGCCTCCCCTGTATTCCTTCGATGACTACGATGCGTGTTTTGTAAATGGTACTTCCGAATTAGCCTCCACCTATTGTATGGTCTATGCCGAGATTCAAGCCAATGACTCCGTAGAATTGTGGCATAAAATTGAAACCCACAATGCCTATAGATTTAATTATAAAAATGATCGTCTGTATTTTGGCCTGTGTCTTAGCCGATGTATGCAATTTGTAAATGAAAGTCCTGCAAATGATAATTTCACCCTAAACAATGAGGTAAGTTTTTTTCGATACGTGCATTTCTGAACATTATCGTTATAATTTCCGTTTGTCTTGTGTGTTTGAAGATCACTCAATATTTCGAAATGGTTCACAAATATCCCTTGGACCTTGAAATGCGTTCGAGTTACTCCCAAATGATACAGGAATGTTTAAATGAAGAATTTGAAAGGAAATATCACCTGAAATTGAATACCTTTGTGGAATATTGTGAACGGCGGCCGGAGCAAGTCAGTTTGAAGGAAAAGGGTAAATAAAACGCTATGTAGTGGTCAAGGTGTATATATAAGGTCTACGAAGAAGACCGCTTTTGACATTAAATTTAGTAGCATGGTAGATGCATCAACGCTTTGGAACATAGATATGTCAAAAATTTCAAAACGTTTTTTTTTTTTTTTTTTTCAAAAATAAGCAGATTTTTTACGCGCTTTCTTATACAACGTTAACCGGAGGTTATTATGATATGCGTATTTCAAAATTTTTTTGCAAATTGGAATAATTTTTCATTATTAATTTTCAATTCCAAAATTGATTTGACAGTTCCATGCCCCAGCAGCTGTGTCAATGCCTGTATTCTTCTATCATGCTTAGTAGAAGTTGCATTTTTCTGATTGGACTCTGCGTGAACTGCAAATCACAGTTATGTCTTTTGACAGCAAATATAGTTGTCAGATGGGCATACTGGGGTACTAAGTTAATCTTCAAATTGTTGTCAAAAGTAGTCTTCCTGGTCGACCTTAGCATTTACCTCGAAATCGATATTGTAGAGGTACTGACTTTGGTTTTTAATTTTTTGAATATTTCTATTTTTTTCCAGATGTGGCCGCAACTATTTTTTCTTTATTTTTTAGAATAACCCTGCTTTTGACTGTGCTCTCAACATTTTTTGATTATTTTTTGAAATCTAAACAGATGCCGGAGAGAAGGACAAATGCATTTTACAAAACTAATTTGGACACACCAGGTAAGTAGTAATGGCTCATTTACAACCACGCCTAATTTATGCGTTCTACGAAGATGCGTCATTCATTTGACATAAATATTAATTAGATCCATAATTCGAACTAAGTCACCCTAAAGTCCAGCGAAAAACCAGCCGGTGATTTATCTTCTTATGTATCTCCACTTTAACTATAGACATAGGATCAAAACACATTCAGAGCTTCGCTTCACTTTCTTGTTTTGCAAATGTAAAATAATAAAGGAATGTCAGAGCCACTCTGAAATTCTGACTCTGTTGCTTTTTTATAATTTCTTCTTAACTCTAGACCTTAAAGATGAGAACACAAAAAATACTTTTTTTGACTGGATTAAGTCATCGGCTCGGATTTTTCGGAAAAGAACAAATGAGCAGAGGGCCAAAATCGAACTAAGGCTGGAAATACATTAAGAGCATATTTGGATGGCTTAAGTCATCGGCTGGCTTCTTCGTAGAGGAAGAAAGGAGGTTTAGGTTGTCTTAGTTCGATTTTGGCCCTAGGCTCCTTTGTTCATTTCCGAAGAAGCCAGCCGATGACTTAAGCCATCCAAATATGCTCTTTATGTATTTCAAGCCTTAGTTCGATTTTGGCCCTCTGCTCATTTGTTATTTTCCGAAAAATCCGAAAAATCTAAAACTTCTTTGTTTCTCCACCAAGAAGCCATGGTAGAAGAATACAGGTAGTCGCATAGACACAGCTGCTGGGACAATAAACTGTCAAACTAATTTTGGTATGGAAATTTTAGAATGAAAAAATTATTCAAATTTGTAACAATTATTAAAAAATGCATATTCTGACAACCTCCGATTGGCGTCGTGTAAGAACACATATAAAAATCTACATGTTTTTATACCTTCAGCCATATGGCTACAGAGGGTATATATCATTTGATACGGGCAAAACGTGCCTCATCGAAATAACGCTTTTATACCCTAGGTCTCTTTGAACCAAACCCTTTTCAGGATATTCGGAGTCGATCTAGCGATGTCCGTCCGTCCGTCTGGCTGGCTGGTGCGCATGATAACTGTCGAAGGGAATATCCGATTTGATCCAAACTTGGTACATCGTAATATTTTTATCAAACTTAGATCGAGTCCGGAAATGGGCAATATCGAACCACTCCTTCTGGAACCTCCCCCACATAAGATCGAAATTTTTAAACAAAATAGTTAACTGCACAGAGAGAGAAAAGATAATTAGATTTTGCTCCAATATTGCAAATCCTAAAATTAGCATCAGTGCTAAGTCAGGTGCAAAAATGGACAATATCGGTCTACTCGATCAAGTACCTCCCCCACAAAGGGTCAAAATTTTGAATAATTATAACTCTTATGGAATGTGATGTAAGGATCCGATTGTCTTCAAACTACACACATAAGAATATTTCTACTAACACAATATCTGCTGCGAAGATGGGATATATTGGTAAACTCCTTCCGGTACCTCCCCCCCCCCCCCCCCCGGGGGTCAAAATTTGGAATATCCATGAAGCCCAAAAATCGCGAAATTAACATCCGGTTTCATGCAGACTTGGCAAATCTCAATATTTCTATCAACACAAGACCTGTTTTAAAGATGGTAGAGATCGGACCATTTCTTCAGATACCACCACCACATAGGGTCAAAATTTTGAATATCCAAAACGAACATAAAATACGAAATAAGCACCTTGTTCTCTTCAAATTTCACACATCCCATTATTTCTACTAACGCAAGATCCGCTGTTAAGTTGGAATATATCGATCTACTCCTTCTGGTACCTCCCCCACAAAGAGTCAAATTTTTTGAATACCCATGAAATAAGCATCTGGTTCTCTTCAAATTACACACATCAAAATATTTTTTTTAACTCAAGGTCTGATGTGAAGAGGGAATATATCGGTCCACTCCGTCTGGTACCTCCCACACAAAAATTTTGAATATCCAAGAAGTTCATAAAACGCGAACTTAACATCTGCCTCCATTCAGACTTGGCAAATCTCAATATTTCTATCAACACAAGAACTATTTTACAGATAGTAGAGATCGGACAATTTCTTCTGGTACCACGTCCACAAAGCGACGAGGTTTGAAAAATCAAAACGATCATAAAATCCGAAATAAGCATCTGGTTCTCTTCAAATTACACACATCACAATATATTTATTAACTCAAGGTCTGGCGTGAAGATGAAATATATTGGTCCACTCCTTCTGGTACCTCACCCAGAAAGGGGTCAAAATTTTGAATATCCATGAAGTTCATCGAACGCTAAACTGACACCCGATTCCTTTAAGACTTGGTGTATTTCAATATTTCCATAATTTCTTCCGGTACCTCCTCACATACGATTAGTATCGTATAAAAAAACTTATAAAAATCTACTTATTTTTGAATTTTTTTTTTGACTCATCAATGTTCCCAAGCGTAGATGCATCTACCTGTATTCTTCTACCACGCAGGATCGCTGTTATACATACATTTTCCAATCCACTTGTCAAAAAAATTGACAGCAAACATTTTCGCCACAAAATTTTCTTCTCAAGGCGAAAATATTTATTTTTGCCTCAGCCATGAATTTTTACATTTCGTCTGATAAAATAACAGCTGTTTTTACATTAATTTGCTCGGAGGAAGACCTTATAATAGGGTCATGGGCTGGCTTCTTTGGAAAAGAACAAAAGAGCGTAGGGCCAAAATCGAACTAAGTCAACCTTTGTTCCTTCACATAGAAAACAGCCGATGACTTAAGTCAGTCAAAAAAGCGTTTTATGTATTCTCACCTTTAAAGTTCATTATTTCAGGAAACTGTTCGAGGGTAAACCATAGTTTTACAAAATCTATTTAAAAATATTTTTCAAATACGTTTTCCTTGGTTTTGCTCAATTGTTTGACTCATTCTATCTCCATCTCTCACTCTCTCTCTTTCCATTTCACAGCCTGGCGTTTATTGACATCATTTTCCGTTATACGCAACTACTATCGCCTAACACAACCATATCGCGGTGAAATAGGTCAACAATTTGCCTATTTGGATGGATTTCGTTCCGCGAGCACTTTGCTTGTGCTCTGGATACACTCGTTCTATTTGCAATTTTTACCGGCTCATAATCCAGGCTATTTTGAAGATCAAGCCAAAACCACTGTGGGTTTAATGTTTCTCAATTCTACCGTTATCATTGAGATGTTTATGGTAATGAGTGGTCTGCTGTTGCATTTGAAATGTTCGCAAAGTGCAATTGTCACACCGCAGAGCAGTTGGAAGCGATGCTTGCAGATTTTCTTGATAATTCAGATAAGTCATTATGTGAGGTAAGTTCTTTTGAGGAATAAAATTGGTTGTGTGGTGGTGTTTACCACTGTCATAAATTATGTAGTTTTGATCTATTTAAACTTATGCTCTGTCCCAGAACCTTCAAGAATCTACTAGTTTTGCAATATTCTCCGATATTATAAAAGGGGAAATCGGTTATCGTAGTAAAAACGTTTATATTCTTCCAGTTCTGGATCTGACCACTACTTTAATCCTAGTCATACCTTACACCATTATATGGAGGGTATTTTAAATTTGTTATTCCGTTTGTAACACCTTGAAATATTTATAATAGACCTTACAAAGTGTATATATTCCGGATCACCGTAAAATTTTAAGATGATCTAGCGATGTTCGGCTGTCCGTCTATCTTTTGTAATCACTATATCTTTCGAACGAACTAAGATAGAAGGCTAAAATTTTGCATACATGCATAGTTTACCAGTAGGCAGGTTAAGTTCGTAAGTTGGCCATGTCTTCGTATAGCCCCCATATAACGGTACCTCCCGATATTCGGTATGTTTTTAGCGACATTATTAACCGGAATCGTTTTAAATTTGGTATCTGAAGTTCGCAATGGGTACTACAGCCTATGACAAAAACTTTTGTATGTAGGTCCACATCTTCGTATCGGTACCTCCTGATACTCGGTATTTTGATGATTTTAGCGACATTATTTACCGAAATTATTTCTAATTTCGTATTTGAAGTTCGCAATGGGTGCTACAGCCTATGACAAAAATTTTTGTGTGCAGATCTACGTCTCCGTATAGCCCCCATATAACGGTACCTGCCGATATTCGGTATTTTGACGATTTCAGCAACATTATGTACTGGAATCGTTTCGAATTTCGTATTCGGAGATCTTTATGGTTACTACGACCTATGGAAAAAATGTCGTATACAGGTCCACGTCTTCGTATAGCCTCCATATATCGGTACCTCCCGATATTCGGTATTTTTATGATTTTAGCAACATTATTTACCGAAATTATTTCAAAATTCGTATTTGAAGTTCGCAATGGGTGTGTGGCAGGCCACGTCTTCGTGTAGCCCCCATATGACGGTACCACCCGATAATCGGTACTTTTATGATTTGTGCGACATCATTCTCCGGAATTGTTTCAAATTTGGTATTTGAAGTTCATAATGGATCATACAGCCTTCGACAAAAAAATTCTTAGGATCACGTTTTCGTATATCCCCCCTATAACGGTACCTCCCGATATTGGGTATTTTGATGATTTTAGCGACATTATTCACCGGAATTGTTTCAAATTTGGTATTAGAAGTTCGTAAAGGATACTACAGCCAATGCAAAACAAAATCGTAAGCAGGTCCACGTCTTCATATAGTCTCCATACAATAGTTTTCATTTAAGTGTTGGGTTCCGGAAGTTTTTTGAAAATTTTCAAGTTCCTTCTAAATGGTGGAGGGTATTATAAGTTCGGCCCGGCGGAACATAGCTCTTTATACCCTACACCACAAGGTGGTCAGGGTACTATGTCTTTGTGCATTTGTTTGTAACAGGCAAAAGGAAACGAGATAGACCCATAGTTCCTTTTGATGATCTGCATAGTATCACATTCTGAGTCGATTTATGCATGTCCGCTCGACCGTCCGTCTGTCCATGTATGTTTGTGAACAAAGTACAGTTCGCATTTCTTACCCGATCCAGATAAAATTTTGCACAAACCATTTGTTTGACCCAAGGACGAACCCCATTGAAATTGGAGATAATCGGTCTAAATTTAGATATAGCTACCATATATATCTTCGTCCGATTTGCCTTTTATTGTGCACCAAACGTGTAATATCAGCCCGAATAGTATGGAATTTTGCACATACAACCAAATTAGACCTGAAAATAAGTATGCCAAATTTAATCGAAATCGGTTCAAATATAGCTATAGCTCCCATGTATATATTGTTCACCCGATTTGTTATTTTTGTCCTCCGCAGCGGTAATATGCACTCTGTAACAACAATATTTGGAGAAATATATATCAAATATAGCTCAGGAAGTACCTTTGCAAAATTTTATCTAGTTCGGTTCGGATTTGGATATATCTCCCATATATAACTTCGTCCGATTTACCTTTTATTGTGCACCAAACGTCTAATATTTGCCCAAATGGGATGGAATTTGGCATTTACGACCGAATTGCGTCTAGAAACTAGTATGCCAAATTTTGTGAAGATCGGTTCAGATATAGCTATAGCTCCCATATATATATATTGTTCATCCGATTTGTTATATTTCTTACCCCCACCCGTAATATGCACTCCGTAACAACGATATTCAGGGAAATATATTTGAAATACCGCTCAGAAATATATTTGCCAAATTTTATCAAGATCGGTTCAGATTTGGATACAGCTTCCATATATATCGAATGAGCAATACAAGTCCGAATTTAAAAGATACAAATGCTTTGGCATATTAAGTCTTTAGAACTTTAAATTATACTTATAATCATAGCGTGTATGATTGAATTCTCCCATAAAAACTTTTAATTTTTATTCGGAGCTCTACTAAATTAGCAAAGTGGTGTAGGGTATCATAAAGTCGGCCCCGCCCGACTTTAAGACTTTCTTTACTGTTTTTTTACTTGTTTTTTTAGGTTCCTTCCCACACTGATTGCCTTGATTGGAGTTAATTCAATAATTTTGACAAGTCTAGCTGATGGACCCTACTGGCGTCACATTATCGAACCGGGTCGCACTTTTGGTCGCACGACTTGGTGGAAAAATTTATTAATGATTAATAATTTCTCCCCAAAAGATACAGTAAGTTTTGTTTTGACATTTTTTTGGTTTTCATTTAAATATTTTCGCGTTTCTTTGTCCCGCAGATAAGTCCGCACACATGGTATTTGGCATCAAATTTCCAAATATTTGCTGTATACACGATGATAATTATTTTCGTTTTGAAGTAAGTAAATGCCAAGAAGATTGGAAGAAATTATTAAAGAAAAAGGATACTCAACAATGTTCTAATTTTTGCGGAAAAAAAGGACTGAACATAAAATTGTCTGCTGTGTCGATAATTTTGTCTGGCACTGTATATACCCCCAATGGGCACTCCGACAGATATTTCCATAATTTTTTTTACAATTTTCAACCATTCAACCCTTTCAGATATCCCCAGTATTAAAAGTACATCTATACCATAATGGGTTTCCTGGCAGTGGCCATTCCAACCGCCATAAGTTATATTTTTAAATTGGATTCTTCATTTATGGCGGGACCAGAGTAAGTTTACACATAACACACACGATTAATACGGATCACCAATTAATATCCTTGTTTTCTTCCCAGGACCTATCGCCATGTCTTCGTCAAAGATTATAAACTATTCCATCAAACCTATACACCTTTCTATACAAATCTGGGTGGTTATCTGTGCGGCGTGTTGTGCGGAGAAATATATCAGAAATATCTTTGCCACGAAGACCGACGTCAAAAATTAAAACAAACAATAAAATACCTGTGGTTAGTGGTACCCTTGGCGGGATGGATTATCGATTATGTAGGGACGATTATGATATTCCATGAGCCCTCGTTGTGGACGGCCTTATATACGGGTCTTAATCGGAATTTATGGATTTTATTGGTGTGTTTTATACCAGTGTTGATTTTGGCCTGTGATTCGGAATGTAAGTTGCTCTAAGTTAAGGCTAGATTACACATGATCTTAGAGTCATATGTAAGGTGACTTTTTCCACATTTATTTGTAGAATTTTTACACGTTCCTCAGAATTGAAAGAAACTCTATGGTACCTCTCGATATTCGGCATTTTGATGATTTTAGCGACATTTTTCACCAGAATAGTTTCAAATTTGGTATTCAAAGTTCGTAATGGATACTACAGCCTATGACAGAAGATTGTCTCTGCAGGTCCACGTTTTGGGTATAGCCCCCATATAATAAATAGTACCTCCCTATGCTCGGTATTTTGATGACAAAGTTTCGGATTTGAATATTGTAATGGGTTATGACAAAAGTTGCCTAGGTAGGTCCATGCCGTCGTCCAGACCCTAATATAACGGCTACACTCGGTATTTTTAAGAGAATTTTTAACGGATTTTTTTTAATAGCCAATTTCGTTCCAAATTATGGAGGGTATTAAAAGTTCGGCCGAACTTACAGCTTTTTTACTTGTTATAACCTCAGCCACATGGCTAGAGAGGGTATATATCATTTGATACGGTCAAAACGTGCCTAGTCGAAATAAGAGTTTTAGATCCTAGGTCTGTTTGGACCAAATCCGTTTGAGGACATTTGGAGTTGATCTAGCGAGGTCCGTCCGTCCGTCTGTCTGGCTTGTGTGCACGATAGCCATCAAAGGGAGTATCCGATTTGGCCCAAACTTGGTACGGAGATGGGCAATATCGACTCTCTCCCTCTGGTACCTCCCCCACAAAAGGTCGTAATTTTCAAAGAAAATATTTTACTACACAGAAAGAGAAAGGATAATCCCAATTTACTTTCATTTTGCAAATCCTAATATTTGCATCAGTGCTAGATCAGGTCCACTCCATCAAGTACCTCCCCCACAAAAGGTCGCAAATTTCAAAGAAAATATTTTACTGCACAGATTTTGCTCCAACTTTACAAATCCTAATATTTGCATCAGTTCGAGGTTGAGTGCGAAAATGGACAATATCGGTCCTCTCCTTTTAGTACCTCCCACACAAAGGGTCAACATTTTAAACATCTATGATGCTCATAAGCCGCGAAATTAACAACCGATTGCATTCAGACTTGGCACATCTCAATATTTCTATCAACTCAAAATCTGTTATAAAGATTGTAGAGATCGGACAATTCCATCTGGTACCTCCTCCACAAAGGGTCTAGGTTTTGAATAACCGAAACGATAATTAAATTCGAAATAAGCATCCTGGTTTCTTCATATTTCACACATCCCATTATTTCTACTAACACAAGATCTGCTACGAAGATGGGATGTATTGGTCCACTCCTTCTGGTAACTCCCTCACAAAGGGTCAAAAATTTGAATATCCATGAAGCTCCTAAAACACGAAATTAACATCCACTTCCATTCAGACTTGGCAAATCTCAATATTTCTATCAACTCAAAATCTGTTAT